GTTTTTAAATTTTTTTTTTTTTTTTTCTTCAATTTTTTGGTTTGCTTTTCGGTTTTTATTATATCGTTTTCAATTTTTTAAAAAAAATTTAATATTAATCCCTTAATTTTTTTTTAATTAATAATAATATTGAATTTAGTCCATAATATAGTTGCGATGGATGAAAAAATTCAAAAACCTATCTATCCTCAACATACCATGGGTACACACCAAGCACCTACTCTTCCCCCTCCACAAAGTCATCCTGGTGTTGATATGACAAATGCAGCAAGTATGGTTGCTAATAGACCTCCTACTAGACAGTTGACAAATTCTAAGAGAGCTGCTCAAAATAGAGCTGCTCAACGCGCTTTTCGCCAACGTAAGGATAGATATATTAAAGATTTGGAGGCAAAAGCTAAGGAACTAGAGACTACAAAAAAGCAGTTGGAGGCTTTGCAAAAAGAAAAAGCTGAAATGGCAGTGATTATTCGTAATTTAAAAAATGAAAATGCAAAATTAAAAGGGGAGGAAGTTATCGATGATGATAACAGACATAATGGAAATAGTTCTAGTACTGGTGCAAATTCAAGTTATTCTCATTATAATAATTCATCAAGAAATGAAGATGAATCTCAAGGTCTTGGTGAAGAACCCTGGCTCAGACATAGGGATTCCGTTCGTAAAGAAGGTGAGCTTTTTTTGAATTTTTTTTTAAAATGGTTTTGTAAATAAAGACTGTTCTTACCAGTATTCTTACTTTCCAAGTTCTTCGTCATTATGTAAATCAGCATTGAATCGTCCTGTAACAGATACTCCATCAAGAGGATCAAGTTTAGTTTTACCAGGTCCAAACACAGATTCTACAGTCGAACCAATTTTTAGACCAGATTATCGTCATCCAAATTCAAATAGCCCATCCCCACCATCATCTGCATCTTCTGATCGTAACCGTGGTCCATATGGAGGTTCTCAAAATAATAACAACAATGGAAGGGGATATTCAAGCAACGATGAAGATACTGATAGAGTATATGATGATTTATGTGAATTATTGAAAACAAGATCAAGACCCGCTTTGCCGCAAAACCTTGGTATGAATAATTGGCCTCAACAACAACAACACAATAATAATGTTGTCACTACCGCTAGTGGTAGTGATACTGTTGTAATGTGAATAAAAAAAAATTTTTAGTAATATAGTAAAAAAAATTTAGTGCATGCACCCTCTTTTTTTTTTTTTTTTTTTTTTTATCATCATTTTTTTTCATTTTATTTTTTATTGGTAGGTTTTTTTTCTTATTTTTTTTTTCCAATTTTTTTCTTTTTTTTTACGATTCATATCATAGGGAGGAGAGTGAGCTAAAAGCTTAACGGATACGACATTGAAGAACTTACCGAAGAATTTAAATAACATGAAATCTTTCAAATACTTTCTTCATATACATACCTTTATCCAAAATTTTTTATAAAACATTATAATCGATTCATTTGCTTTTTGATACTAATTCGTTATAGCGATTTATGTTTTTTTTTATTATCAAAAGCAAATCATTTTTGTAAAATAATTTATATTCCCTTACATTTTCTTACCGCACCTAATTTTTCGATATCTACCTTAAATTATTAATTTAAATATGATTCCAAATTCCCTAGCATGTTTAATACGCTTTATGATTTTTATAATTTTTATAACCCAAATATTTCTTTTTTACAAGCATATGTTTTTTATAAGATAATTAGTCATGATATAATCATTCATTATATCATGGACCAAAAAAATTTAAGATATTTTCTTATAATCCCGTTATATGCATAATTTTTTTTTTCCATATTTTTTTTTTCTTCTTAAAAAATCATTCTCTCTCTTTATATTTTTTGCGATTTAAAAACACGTGATAAGAAGTATATGACGTAATCATTTCCATAATTTCTATTATTTTTTTTTTCTAATTTTTTAAGATTTGATTCTTTAGAAAAAAAATCATAAAAAAAAACGAAGCTCGTTCAAAATCAAAAAAAAAAATCCCCGCAATATAATGGAAATTATCCCTTTCGTTTATTTTTCGGTCAAGCTTAATTTTTTTTTTCTTCTATTTTTTACATACATATATATATATATGTTTAATTACAATTGATCTTTTAATTTAATGATCAATATTTTTTTTAATGTCGAACAAATTTTAATGAAATGAAAAATAATCGATATAATGAATCGAATAT